TCCATTTCTATGTCCTGATGAGTCGGCAGTTTGTCCTTTAATATCTCTGCCACCTTCCCCTCCGCTTCAGTCACGCTCTCTCCAGCGGACTCCATGATTCCCGCGAAGATCAGGTTTTTCTCTTCAAGCCAGTTTCTTTTAGAGGTTCCTATGGCCAGATATAAATGCTGGGGTGACTGTGCTTTTACTGTTTGCGCCCCTAAATTGTGGAATAGTCTACCTTCTAATGTTAGGTCAGCTACTGACCTGACTACTTTTTAATCCTTGCTTAAAACTTATTTATTTGGCTTGTCCTTTTAATTTAATTTATTGAATGTGTCTGAGTTATTGTGTTTTATTTTTGCACTGAATCTATTTATTTTATTTTAGTTATTTATCATGGTTTTATTCTGTCTATGTAAAGTACTTTGGTCAACTGGATGTTGTTTTTAAAGTGCTATATGAATAAATTTGATTTGATTTGATTTGAGTCTTATTACAATTTATTACTCCTTCTCCAAATGTTCCTCCCTGCTTGCGTACCCCGGTCTGGGCCCCACATTAAAACAGTCTCCAGACCCGCCCCTGTTCTCATGAGGAAATGATTGCTCACAACTGCTTCCACATAGAAAACCAGACTGAAGCTATATTCTCAGGCTTGTGGGTGGTTTCTGTCTTTGGGGAGAATGTTGCTGGTTTTCAGTGGGTAAATGTTTTAGCAAATGGTCCTTTACACATCAGCTGCACAGCTTATTGGGATTGTACTGAAATGTGCTATATAAATAAAATGCCCTCACCTTGGATGAAATGTAACTGGTACGGGGTTTTGAGGGATTTTTGTGTGTCACATGCGAGATTCTCCCTCAGTTAAGGCTGTGAGCAGATTCAAAGCTGAATTAATCTGTTCAAGTCTCACAGTTTAAAGCCAGAAATCCCAATCAGGCTTTCTAACAAGAGCCTGAGGTCAAAAGGACTTCAAGGCTCGTTGGCGCTCCACCTCATTCCACATTCCTTTCCCTAACTAGCAGGAAACAAAACAATGTAAAGCAATAAATAAAATAAAAAGAGAAATCAAGGTATTTTCCCCAATCACCCAGCTGCTGCTGTAGTAAGACACATACCAGGAGAAGATATGACGAGGAGCTGGTTGAAACGTTACTGGACACAGAGTACAAAGGTTCTAATCCCAGGATCTTAGGAAACTGGAGGAATAAAAGGAAAAAGGTGGTAAAAAGCAGACGTGAGTAAGGGGATTTCACAGAAATAGAAAGAGACCAAGAAGAGTCCACCACCACCACCAACATTTAACCTTGTTCAGTCACATAATGCTGAGTGGCTCCACTGTCAGGTGATGTCATAACACAGCTGTGGCCTAATGAGCAGCCTTTATGTTCACAACCACCACAAAGCAAGTCCTTAAGTCCACTTTGTACTTCACCAAGGAAAACCACGTGGAAAGTCCATCAAATCCTTTTTAAGATGCTGCAGCTTTGAGCGTTTACATGCGTCAAAGTAAAAGTGGGCGTGGCATGTTGAAGCAGACGCGGGTGGTGTTGGTTACCATTAAATTCTCCGGTTTAGACAAGATAAACATATTCATTAGGTCATTATTAGTTATTATTTTAATACTTTATACGGACTCCTTCCCCTCTGGCTCAACTCACTTGTTGGTCTGATAAAACACTAGCCCCTATAATCCTTGGTTCATTAAGTGGAAAAAGGTGAAACTAACATATAAAGCTCACCTCTTTGGCAGCTGGTCTGTCATCCAGAGAGAAAAGTGATGATATAGAACCACAAAAGGAAAGCAGAAACAACACCCGACCCACGGAGCCAACGAAGTGCTTTCTATATCCTAGTCTGGTTTCCTCTGGGTGTCAGCGGTCCAGAGCTAGGTTAAAACAAGTGTTAGATAATATCACAAGAAGTTGAACTGACAAATGAAAACCAGGATTTAAGGTCAATAAATCAAAACATGGACATAGAGCAACATCAGTTGTGTGTTCCTCACCTATGGGTCCGTTCCTAAATCTAAACTGTTCTGTAGAAAACATGGAGATTTCAGTCGCCTGCATTAAAGCCAGCACATCTGGATCATTGACACCATCAACTGCTAGCAGGTTGCACAGGATCTACAGGAGGCATGGACATAAATCCCCCTTGCAAAGGTATATTCTCCTCCCCTTCCAGGCTCATACGACCTTAATAAGGCTTCCGTATGTGTCCATTACCGTGAGGTTTATCGTCTAGTTTGCGAAAACCTTTAGATGTGCTTGTTATCGTCCATAAAGGTTTGTCATTTTTACCTGTTCCAGCTTCGTGCCATTTCAAAAAGCAACTCTACAACATCATGCAAACGACAACATGGCACTGTCAACACATGCAGCAGCAGGAGAGAGATAAGGTTTGGTAAACACGGTGTTATCAACCACCACCAGAGGAGGCCAGAGCCTCAGTAATGTAGTAGGGCCCCTCTCCAGCAATGCCTGTCTGTTGTATGTTAGCAGTGCATGACAGTCTGCCTCGGTGGGCGCCATGTTTGTTTATATATGTTTGTTTGTTTATTATAATTTTCCTGCTTTCACTTCTGTCAGATTTGGCACCAACACTTTTGAGGTACCTGCAATTTAATATTCATACTTAAACTTCACTACATTTAGAGGTAACCTAAATATTGTGCTTTTCACTGCACTACACCTCGGCCCATTTATCTGCATAATTCTAGTTATTTACTTCTCAGAATCAAATTAGCAAAACAATACAAAATACAAGATAAGACTTATTGATCCTTGTGGGAAATTCACAAGCTATAACACAGTAATTCAAATTATGTGAAGCAGCTAGTTAATATTAATTCCACCTTTACCGGCTGCAATAACACTTGTGATGAAAACAATAATGAATAAATAATTATGATCCAATATGGTACATTCATCATGTGAAATGGGCTGTACTGCATAATTAGTAGCCTACTCCAGGGTGGACCCTGCCTGAGTTGAATACATTTGTGGTACACAAGTAGTCAGTGTACATTTACTCAATTAGTACTTCAGTACAATTTGGAGGCTACTTCACTTGAGGATTTTCGTTTTCTGCTGCTTCATACTTCAACTTCGCTACATTTCAGAGGCAAATATTGTATGTTTACTTCACTACATTTATTTGATTACTTTAGTTACTTTTTAGAATCAGATTAATAACTAAAAACTAAATAGAGTATAGTCATGACACTTTATTAACCACTGATGGGAAATTGACAAGATTCCCATCAACTAATTTAAATAATGATAACTATTAGATTCAGAATATATGGGAAGTTAAAATGAGCTCTGTCTATAAAGGCTGATGATGTAACTACACAATAATGGATCAATGATTTTAATCCATAGTCCATGCATAATGAATGCTTTTACTTTTGGTAATTCAAGTAACCTGTGTTACTTTTACTTTTTTACTTTTACTTAAGTGACACTTTAAATGCAATACCTTTTAACAAAGTATTTCTACACTGCTCCTACACTTCCTACTTTTACATGAGTAAAGGCTCTGAATACTTTTGTACCACCACTGCTGATGTTGATCTCTATCATAATTTGAAGCCCAAACCCTGAAGGATTCTCCTCAAGTTTACATCTTCATGACATTAGGTTCTGTTTTGCAATAACACAACACACACACACACACACACAGTCACACACCCAGCTTGAGGCCTCTCCCTGATAATGGAGGTATGGAGTGCAGCCTATCTGGCCTCTGCTCATGTTGACATGTTGCCAGAAGTGCCTTGGTTTATTTATGCATGCCTGATCTATCAGCACTGGCTCTATGTTTGGTGAGCCTCAAAATAGACATAATTAGGACAGGGCGGGAAAAGAGGAAAAGGGAAAACGTGTCTGGCCGTGCATTTGCTCCAAACTGACCCCCCTATCTCCATTCATCCCTGCTCCACTGCCTCCTCTCTGTTTTGTTTTTGCAGACAGAAGCAGCAGGCAGGCAGGCGGAAGACGGGTGGAGAGGGTTGTGTGTGGTCTGCATTGGGTGAAATCCACTGGTGAAGTCGGGCGAAGCGGAGTCCTCCAGATTACCACACCCACACTGGGGTCCTGATACCATCTCTGATGTCTCTGTACTTTTCTTTGGGTTTTTCAAACCCATGGTGCACCTATGGATACATAATTAATATTGTCTGTCAATTAACTGTTTAACTCCTGAGTATGGGCCCCTGGACACAGACATGGAAAAGGCCCCCACCTCTTCAACACCCCAAGGAGCAAAACACAGATTAAGCAAACATAGATTTGTAGTCCATTTGTGTCTTCTTGTGATTGTTCTGCATCTGTTTTAGCAAAATGTTTGTCATTTTGCATCTCTTTTTTTTGTCGTGTCTAGTTGTCTTGCATCTCTATAGCTGCTTTGTTTCTGTTGTTTTGCATTTGTGGTAATTTTACTGCCTTTACAGTCATTTTGGTCTCTTTTTAGTGGTTTTGTATCTCTTTTTAGCTGTTTTGCATCTGATTTTCCCCAGCTTTGTGGCTTTTTGTACTAATTTGATTGACTTTCCAACAGAAAGATGAAGAGTCCCTTCACAGTTCTGGCCCAGTAGGCCTGATCCGTAATCCATGTATGTTTTAAGCATATTCATTTGTACACTATTTACTATAGGCCAACAGTTCTTTGGACTCCGATACCTTTTGATAGCAGTTTACCGATCAATTAATCTGTCATTTCTAAATGTCAGATCTTAATGAGGGTTGAATAATGATTCACTCTATAAAGACTTCCAATGGACTTGTAATGTGTCAACCTTTTTTTTTTTTAATCCAGTACAACAAAATTGATACAATATTGATTTTGGCCATATCAACCAGATCTAATTACAGTCCAATTTCATATTAAAGACATGTTCATAAAAACACAAATGCAGATGAGAATAAACTAGCTGAAGTCAGCCTGAAGGTAATGTGTGACCCAAGGCCTTCTCATGCTCCCATGTGTCCTCATTCAGCTGCGAGTAAAGTGGAAGAGGGCATGGGGGCAGGAGGACGTGCATGTATGTGTGTAAAGGCATGCTCTCAGCACTTATCAGCTTTAGAGGTTTCACACTAATGATGACAATGTAGGGAGAGAAGGCGGCAGATGTAATTGCCATGTCTGAAGGCAAGCACACACACACACACACACACGTATCCTCAACAGCCCTCGATACCAGTCCCATGATATAAACCCACCCTAGATGCATGTCTACAAATACCCTCCACACTGGTCAACAACTCAGAAGGCACACAGCTGCAGCCCAGATTGTTGAAGACAGAGATCCACAGAGAAAACTGAAGATTTAAGGTGAGAATACAGTTGCTTCTGAAATTCCATGTGTGTGTTTTATTGTTTCTATGAGAGATGTGGAATTGACAGTTGTGCTCTGCTTAGATGCTTTGCTCCAGGATTGTGCATCCTTTTCTGGCTCTTTTCCTGCTGCTGGGGGAGATATCTGCTGCTGTGCTGCAAAGCAGTTTCAGAAACAAAACAGTAAACTATGTCACCTTTTGGACAAAGAAATCAAATGACCGCAGGTCTGTTTGTCTCCTAATGATTTGATTCCCATCCATAGGAAATCAACTGGCTGGACCAAGAGCTCTTCCCCCGCTTGCTTGATCACTCACACCAGGAAGATCTCTCTGTGGGTGATGCAGGGGAGATGGGCAGGGATGTGGACAGTCGCCCCTCTCAGTCACAGACTTTCCTTGGCCCAGCAGAACACCTTTCTCTCCAACGCCAGCGCCAAAACCAGTACCAGCGTAAAGCCAACGAAAAGAGGTGAGGACAAATTTAAATAATGTTGACAATCCTCTACATCAGTGTGACCAAATCAGATATACTTTAATTGATCTTCAGTGACAAATATGTATATTACTAATTAATTTTTCCAGTAATTACAAATATGTTTTCCTCATTTGATAATTGAAAGGTCGCTATAAGACTATAGGGTATTTTGGATGTTGTTGTGGATTGCTGTAAAGTTCACATGTAATACAGAGTGAATGTATAGTATTAATGAAAAGTACAAATCTGACATCACAGGAGTCCGATGTTTTGGACTGAGCTTGTTCTACCTCTGTTACTGTGTCTCCAGGAGAAAGGTCCCTCCTCTGGACCCGATTGGCAGCTTCCACATGTTCAGTTTTGGAAACTGAAAAGTGTGTAACAAGAGAAAAATGCTTCGTCATAACGTTAATAAAGCCACAGCACAGAAAGAGATGGTTACCATAAGCCTTCTATGCTGTACTTTTTGAATAAAGGATGCCTGTGTCACTTGCTTCCTAATCATTTTCCACCTGCACTTCACACTCACTCACACACACACTATACCCACGTCTGAAGCAGTACAGTAATAAGTGCCGTCAGTCTCTGTCACTGTTTAAACATTACAAGTTCAATAGCAGACTTAAATGTCTATTTTCTTCTTTGTTTCTTGGACAACTTCTGTTTCCCAACATTTGTACAAACAATTTAACTTCCACAGCATGTCCAGGCGTCCCACAGCACTAAGAGTTACTCAACAGTCTTTTAACATGATTAAATTGATCAAGATTTTGTTCATCCAATATGCAGAATTAAGCATTTAAATACTGTTAAGACGAGCCTGGTGTCTACTAGGAAGATTACAAGGACTAAACAGACTGAGTTCTCAATGCCAAACCCTGTGTAAACCTGTATATTGATATTGATTCATTAACTCCTATTGAACCCACAAGCATAGCAACAAGTGAGATATCTGTCAGCCAGCTCCCTCTAGTGGTAGAAGGCAAACATTTTTTTCTGTGCACTCATCCTAATATAATGTGACAAAACACTCATTTCAAATGTCCTGTCCTTTCAATACAGTTGACTCAAAATGCCACCGGTTATGTTCCCAAAGACTTTTATTTTTCAAGCTACAATTAAAGAAAACAATATCAGACTGCAGAAAATATAGACTTTGTTTGGGTATTTTCTCTCTTCACTTTCACATATGTACAGTTGTTAAAGAACAAGATATGTACACAAAAATTGAAGTTGGAGAGAGAGTGCAACTGCTACTGGAGACTTTCTCACCACCAACAACAACGACAACCCAAAAAAAGCACATGGTAAAACCAAACAACATAAATGCCACAGTCGACGTGGTGTCAACTTATTTTCTGTACACTACAACTTTGTTCTCGACGTGAGATAATCTTATATCCATTCTCTGGCACGGGTGGAGCGCTAATCTCACTTCTCAGAAAGCTAAGAAATAAACATGAAATAGAAAAATATTTTACAACCATTCATAGACGAGCCTCAGAGCCACTTTGACACTGCCAAACCAGTCGACTTCCAGCAACAATACCCTCTCATTTCAACGAGTTTTTAAACACACATAAAAAATAAACCAAATTAAACAAAGACATTAAAATATAACACTTCAATGTAAATGTTGTTCATGGTAAATGGCTATCAATTATCCATTAACAAGCGAGAGAGGGAGAAATATTAAGCACTCAATCATGAATGTACACAGCTACATGCTAAATACAGATGTAATCAGCCACAGCTCATATTCCCAATACCATCCATATATGCAGTGGAAAAGGTATTTGGGCTTACATTTTTAAAAGTGCACTGAAGAATTGTCTGTGTGCCATTTGAATTTTAGCAATTTAGATGCACCTGCAAAATAAATGTCAGCTGACTTAAAAAAAAAAAAAAATTATTTTAGAGTGAGGTCGCTACACCTTCAAGTTTGGTGGTCGACCACAAATAAATTGCCAAATTACTATCAAAAATAAAATGAGCTGCCCATCCAGCATCGTGAAATACTTCTAAACAAATAACAGGAGTGAGATTCTCCATCTCTTCAGCAGTATGTTTGTCAACGTTTAAAACGTGAATTCAAAGTTAGGAAAACTGATATCAAACTGATAATAGTACTCCTTGAGAGAGAGAGACACACACACAAAAAAAAAAATGTAAATGATTTGTGAATATTCTCAAGAGTGTCAAAATACGCCTTCAGTGACTATATGAAAACAAGTGAATAATGATGTGCACATCACAAGCACATAATACAATAAAGCCAATTCTTGTACAAATTAGTAACAAATGAGTCTCCACTGTCACTGTTGCCTTCTGTCCAGTTCTTCAGTCGCCAAAGAAAAACAGACCATGAAAAAAAGAGTAAGGGCTATATAAGAATGGTTGTGATTGTCAAAAGAAATCCTAAAAAACTGACAATACAGTTTCCATCCAAGTGATGATTTAGGCTGTTCTGGCTGTAGGCATCAAAGAAAGTGTCAGAGGCCAGAAAAAAACAGGAAGGGTGACACCGCCCACCCACCCCCAGTCCTCATCACCTTTAGGTGTCTTTTTTGTGTCCTGACCGCCGCAAGTCCCTGCACTTGTGGCAGTAAAAGATGTCGGGAACATTGGACTTCTTGATCTTTGCGCATGACAAGTGCACCCATATGCTGCACTGGTTGCACTCGATCATTGGTCGCCCTGCGAATGGCTTCCCACAGTAACAAGTGATCAAGTCCCACGAGTCGTCACCTGTGTTCATAAAAAAAAATTAATTAAAAAGTTAGCACATTTTTATTGCTTCTTCAAAAATGAGACAGTCTGTTATTAGACGAAAAGAACATACCTGACTCCACCATAATGTCTTCATCTGCAATCCAGGTCTCTCCCTCACTGGAGCTCATCTCTGCTTCCCTGATAGACTCGCCAGGCTGCGTCTTCCCCAAGCCATGCATGCTCAGGGTGGAGCTCCTGTGTACCGCCAGATCTGCTCTGACTGGTCGTTCATCGGTGTGTGTATGCCGCGCCTCTGAGTCTGTCTCACTTTGTGCTGCTGAACTCTTGAGCTTCTTAGCCTTTGGCTGTTTTGAGTTTTTGCTGCGTTTAATGCGGGCTCTTTTCTCGCTCTCACTACTACCACTATCTGCCGCCGTCCCTGCAGAACCCAGTGACAACTTTTTCAGTTTTTTGTCCTTCTTGCGCTCAGCCTTACTGCTGGCATGGCTCTCATACAGGGAGTCTTTAAGGCGCATCTTATCTAGCAGAGTGCTGTCAGAGCGCATGTGGCGAATACTTTTGCCCTTATTTGCTCGGGCTTTACGAACAAATGTATGGATGGTGTGGATGTCGGAGCCTCCATCTGCCCAAGCATTGCCCATGGAGCTGCTGCCTCCACCACCTCCATCTGCTGACAATCCTGAACTGTGTGCAGAGCTGGATGATGTCGGGGACCATGAGCTTTCCTGGGAAAAAAGACAAACTATGTTGGCACAAACTCACAACAGTTATTTCTGAGATCAACACTGGCACCCAAAGCAGCTTACCTCTTTTGAACTGGGGATGTACCCAGCATATGCCAGGACAAAGCTGCAGAACTTGTTGAAGTCTTCAACAGTCCTCTTTTTCCTTTCTGGAGGCTACAGAAAACATATGCCTTTGTTAAATAAAAAGAAATTTAAGCTAATCTTGACAAACTCCAGCAACAGAAAGCTATTAATACTCATTATAATATTATAAAACACTCACCAAAGGTTCCGTTTTGCATGTCAACAGTGAATCTGGATGATAAAAAAAAGAAAAGTAAAATTCATTAACTCAGAGATAGCCATCACAAAATTACCAAACACATGGTGTTGTCTGAAGCCATGGTGAGACAGGAGTGGACAGAGGGTGGCATTAGTTTGCTGACACGGCTCAATAACTTAATCAGGGTTATAAGAGATGAGTGTGTGGGGGATTTATTCGCGTTAGTTTGGTTGTGTTAAACTGACCGATAGTTTAAAGGTAACCATGTGAGCGGAAAATAACCAAGTCTGTCACTGAACAGACAGCGTCTGCAAAGGGCAGCAACCGGTGTCAGTTGGTCACTATCTCAACTTTAAACACAGTCTGGATATTTAGGAATCAACCATGAATAAATGTTCGTCCATTTCACATCCACGTTGAAGCAAATAGTTGATTTTGTACACGCGTAGCTAACAGGGCTCAGTTTATGGGCCGCTTGTCATTTTGCACTGTTCATCAAACATCTCGGTTAACATTAGCATGTAAGCTAACTGACATTTAGAGGGGAAGCTAACAACACTTTAAAAAACTAAACTTTCTTGAAAATATACATAAACAATCAAGGCAATACAATATTTTGCCAATATGGTGGGTGTATCTGGGTTCCAGAGGAAACAGTAACAAGCAATAATATGACAGAAGGGAAGCTAACACGTTATGCTGTTTCTGGCGATAACGGCATATATGGTTTGGACTAATGCGAGTTCCCTAATGTTCGATATATTTAACAGGTTGCATAACATTTCGAAAGTAATGATCGTATGGTTCTAACAGCTAGTTTTGATTCTTGAGAGTGAACTTGTGCCAACATTCGGCCACTTGGTCAGCCAGTTAGCTAGCTAACCACTGGCTTTCTTGAAAGTGAAGTGGGAGGCTAAATAGCCAAGTTAGCTTGGTGCTAGCAATGTGTGACATTTAATCGGCTGTGCTCTCAGCGCTGAGATTTCAGTTAATGTTAATGTTTATCGTAGCTGACAAAAAAGATAATTTAAGAAAGATCGGATAATTTAAAAGGGACAATATAGAGATACTCTTTCAAAGACGGGGCTGGCTAGCGTTAGCTAGTAGGTTATCCTAAGATCGGCGCCTAACTAGAAAGGTGGCTTAACAACAATAATGCATTAAATTGCCATTAGGATAGCTAACTAACGCTATATTAATCGCAACAAAACATCTGAAATATTACATTCACTTTAAACCCAGTTTTCGTGGCATTTAACAACAAACCATATGATGGTCATGAGCAAGTCATAATACAGCACACGCAGCCAACACTAACATAAACGCTAGCCACAACTTAAGGTTAGCTAACGATACCGACGGCTATTTTAAATGTCTACAAACCACGACAGACAAATTTAAACAGTGAACGATTTAGCATCATACATAAACAGTTAGGTCAAAAGCTCACATTTGATACTAATGAAACATACCTTGGTGCTCAGACATTATGTCAAGCATTGTCGCCTCTCCGACAAGGCCTCGATCCAACAAACAGAAGCAGCAGGCGAGCTAGCCGGAGAGTGGCGGCCGTCGCGCTGTGCCTTTCCCCGGCGCGACTGCACCTTACGGCCGTACAACTTCAGCAGCAAGGCAAGGACGCTTAAGACCAAAAAGACTTCTCCTCGGAAAGGACTCCAATGTCGACCAAAGTTATAATATTCCCTCGCTGCGGAGCATTTACGCCAGATAACTTTAGCTTACCAAAGGCAAACCGCCTTGGGACTGTCGCCACATTAACATTATTAGCCCGACAAAATACCAATTCCTTCGTTGCTTAACGTGCTTCAAGCTCCCTTTTCTTCGTCACTGCATTTATTAAACCATCGGTGTTTAAACACAGCAAAACTACAAAAAGTCATTAAATAAACGCGACAACTCGCCAACATGGGACCGTAGCAGAAACTTCTTGGGTGAAGTTAATTCGCTGTAGATTTAAAAGACGACCTGAGTTTTGACTTTATTCCGCACTGTTTTCTCTCTGTGCGCGGCAGAAACCTCTTGAGGTTGCCAGCCCAGTGTCCTGTGGGATATTCTGGGTAATGTAGTTTGTTGTGTAGCATTTATCCCTGTAACTTGGGGCTTACGTGTTGCTAAACTACATTTCCCACATATTGTCAATATTTAACTAACGGAACTTTGGGATATGAAGTTTTTGAGTCTATACAACTCATTGAATTATGTCTAAATAAATCACTTTTTGCACATGATGGGGAAATTTGGAAATTGAATATTCTGTGAAGAAAGTCAAGGAGGAGGTTATTAAATCTGAAAAGTGGTCCGTGGTGTGGGGCTTTTCCTTAAACAGAGAAGATGTTTGTTTGAAACCATATAATGATTGATTGGGGGAAATGAAAACCTTTAAATTCGTAAGAGCATGTATGGTTTGATGAGTCAACTCACGTTTTCAAGGAAATAAAATAGTAGCCTAGATCCACTTACTGAACAAGGATTGAAATCAAGCCTAGTAGAATTGCCATCGTCAATAAATAAACTATCCTTCAAAGTTAAGCCACAGTGACATAGCTTATGAAGATCTTAAAGGAAAGCATTATATCAGATCCACCCGGAAGTAAGTTAGCACTGATGAAATGTAGAAGAGAAGAGACTCTGATTAGTAGATTTAGACATGTTAAACTAAACTCATCTTTATGCCTTATGTGAAAGCATCCAAATCAAACCGGTGATGCCTGCAGTCAAATGCAGACTGTATTGTGTTATTTTTGTTTGTGTCGAATATACAAATGAAATGGAATCAGCTGGAACAAAGGGGGATTTAACTCGTGGACCATAAATCAGTCTTCTCACAAATTAGTGGAAGTTTCCTGTTTTAAACTACACCTTTGCTTTTCCTCAAACAACATTCTAAGGACTTAGTTACATAACAGTAGGTGACGATAATGCTGTGCTCAGTTGCTATATGCGCCATTAAAACAAACAAGAAAGGCTGTCAAAATATAGGCAGGCATCCAATTAAATACTTAACACAGTTAAGATAGTTTTAGATAGATTTTATTCGTTATTTGTTTTACTGTCTTCGCGCCACACTCCAGTCCGGTAGGTGGCGGTAATTGACCTTTTATATTGGTTTGTCAGTCGTTATTCAAATAGAAAAGAACAAGAATAAGGGTCTGTAAACATGCTGAGCTTCTACCGGAGAAAGCATTTTTTTCTGTAAAATATAACTTGCTGTGATTTTAATGACATTTACGCTTTGAAACATGTTGTTCTTCTGTCATTAAATTACCGAGTTCAGAGATTTCTGTTACGTGGTATTTACTTTTATAAAGGTGGTGAATCCGAAGCATGCTAACTAGCTGAAACTATCTGGAGCTTCTACAGTTTAGCACCATGTTGCAAGGCACTGATGTAGGAGGGTTTCTTATAATACAAGGTAAAAACGTTACATGTAGAGGTCTAAACCGTAACATACCTATTATCTATGTTAATCGAAGCAATAGCATAACGTAGTGTACTTAATTCTTGCACTGACAGATTCTGCTACTTACTCTGGTAGACACCTCCTAAACAGCTTCATCAACGCCGCACTGAACAGGTATTTAAAGAAATGCTTATGGTGACTGTTTTGGTATGTATGTATATGTTAACTGATGCTTCTAGTTTGTGTGCTTGTTGAAAACAACTGTAAAAACGTGCATTGATTTATGTTTTGAATTGAGGGAGGAATCTGTCCATGTCCTTGGTTTTGAGATCAGTGAGGAAGAGTTGAAAGATGGATTGAAAAGATCACCCATTCAGAGGTAATTAACATTAGTGATATAGTGTTATAGAGCAATGTGAACATTAATTGCTTATACACAATGTAAAATTTAAAATTCTTTGAGGTTCAGACTGCTGATCAAATGAAGCACTGGAATACATCATCTTGAATTGTCAAAATTTGTGATGGGAATTTTAAATAATAATGAAAATAATAGTTTGGTGCAGACCTTTTTATTATGCAGTTTATTTAACCTATAACTGATCTGACCGTCTGTTTCTTTCACTTCAGGCTACACTTTCACAATGCTTTTATAGACCCCCTTGGCTGGACTGATCACCCGATTTTCACAGTTCACCAGTTCAGTTTGGAGGAACTTGTACGTCTGGTCAAGCAAACATCTCACCCCAAACCAGCTACCTTGGTAATTGACTCTCTTTCGTGGATTTTGAGACATATCAGTCCTCCTGCTGTTTGCAAGACTCTTCAGCAACTTAAAAAAGGTGATAAATTATCTTCTTATGTCATATGTGATGTCCAGAGTTTATGTATATTTAGCGTATAGTGTAACTGACTATGCAGGCTAATTCTGCTATATGTGCATATGTCTACTGTGCATGTGACAACCCCTTTGACCTATATGTTTTTTGTGTTTTCATTAGAGGGAGCTGTGAGAGCTGTTATAGGTCTGCTCCATGCAGATATGCATCAGAAAGGTACTGTGGGAAGTGTATGCCATTTGGCTACTTCAGTCATCACTGTGGCACCTGGAGTGAAGGGAGATGCAGCAGTGGCAAAGATAACAAAGCGCTCAAAATCGGGGAAGGTTATGCAAGATGTAAGCGGTGTTATCTTTGGGTTGATTATTTTGTTTTCCTACACTGTTAAAATTGATTTATAACTTCATTTTTGTCCTCAGGAGGAGATTTTTAGCATCAAAGAGGATCTTACAGTCATAGTACAGAGCAAGCCCAACCATACTGGACCCAAACAGACTGATTCTGAGGAACAGGAGGTGCAAATTAACACATTTATTCTGTCAGAGGATAACATAAAGAAAGTGTTAAGACATAACATGACTAAAACATTTCTGTGCTTTCATAGATAGATCCAACAGCTAACTTGACCTTCAACCTTCGTTTATCTGAGACAGAGCGTAGCGCTAAGGATAAGCTTGCACTTCCTTTTGTCTTCAGCAAAGAGAAGTGAGAAACATTTCCACACTTATCATATTTTCCATATTTCCATGTCTTTTTATGAACACTGTCTCTCCTTTTTTTTTTTTTTATCTAAAGGAAGACCGCTCTGCTCCATTCTGGGCCGGGTTCAGGACGAATTCTCTACGAGCCTGATGCCAACGACGACTATGACCAGGAGGACCCAGATGATGATCTTGATGTGTAGGTTTGGCGCATAAAACCCACTGAAGATGTCCTCCTTGTTATTTAAGGCACCAAGTTGCTTTCACTTTCAAAGACTTACACCATCTCATGGAGCTTTGATGATATAAAATAATGCTAAGAAAATAAAATAAAATAAATCTAAGAAATCTGGATTATGTTCATTAAATGATATCTGAGTTTTAATAATATTTTTGATACCCAGAATTTGTTTTTTGGAATTTGAATACAATTATGTTATTTTCTGTCTGTAAGTGATTTTATTATTTTGTTCATAAAAATTAATGTTGTACATGTTATGTGAAATATCATGTGTTAACCATTTCATCAAAGTGAGTCATGTTTAGCATTGCCATCCAACTGAATCTTTACTTAAAGATTTATTGCATTTGTTGCCAATTTGAAGGTCAGGGCAAATAAATATTAGGGGTCATAAAATAAAGTGAAGTGATAAGACTGAAAAATCAATTTCTGGCTTTTCTTATAAGGTTTGTAATTTTCTCCTAATATACTGGATACATTTTCCTTATTTTCCAGACCCTCTAAAACAATACAGTCCCAAAAAAGGGTCATAAAATGTAATTAGGGTCTCAAGAAGATACTGACTCACTGCCAAATATTATTGTAAATCTGAAATAAATCATTTCATCTCTGCACCATTATTAGAGCACTATCTGTTATTTTATTGCAAATTCTGTCCAAATATTTGGATTTCTTTAATTAATTAATTCAACGGGTTCATTAGTTATTCTACCAGGTCTGTTTGCAACAAATAATTTCCAGTGAAACTGTTTCTATCACTAAATAGTTTTAGCCATATGTATGGCTAACAGTTTGAAAACATTTAATTGGCTTAGCAAAACGTTTTGCAGTAGCTAGCAGCTGGTAAGCCCATGTGTCTACTGACAGCTGCTAAACTAATATATACAGTGCCTTCTCCAACATCTAGTGGCTATAAACTGAATCACGGGGGAAATGAGCTTTTCTTAACACCGATTAAACCACTAAGAAAGTGAGGGCAAAACTTAATACACACAAATGTTAGCTAAAAAATCACAGAACTAACAAAAAATAAGAATATAAATTGTTATTTAAGAGTAGACAACCTGCTGTGGCTGTTTATTTTCTTTCCACGTGTACGTGCTGTGCGTGATTACAGTGTTACTCGCGGAAGTGACGGCATCACGGCGATGGCGGCTCGCAGTTTCATTCCGGATTTCCACTGGACTACAAACTGATTTTAACCGGACCGGTTAGACTTTAGGGAACTTTTGTACAGACGTTTCTCTTTGGACGCCGCACTGTGTGAAGTAGCAGTGAATCAGTACTTCACAACGAGCGGCCCCACAGCTTTTTTGGGGCATTTTTGTCCAGAGTTCAAGGTGGTCACCCTGTCGAGCTAGCGTTAGCTTGGTGGCTAGTTGGTACACAGTCAGCTCTTGAGCTAGTTTGTCAACGAGCTGCGTGTTAAGGTCCATCCAGCAGCAGCAGCAGCAGCTATTCTTTTAACCCCCTCCACGTTTGTCTTTCACAGCTACAATGGACTCTCTGTATTGCTAGTTGTGCCACAAGTGTGCAGAGCGAGGTACTCACACGTTTGCTTGGCCTCTTGTTAATTTGAATCGCTAGTTTGGCGGCTGTGGCTAAAGACGGATTTGGACTCAATAGCAAGCAAGTTCCTTCAGCAATTACCCCAACAGCTTGGGACAAAAGCGTGCTATCAGCTGAAGATCGAAGTTGAGTTGCTGTGGGGTCTTTGCGTGCTCATCAACATGCTGAAGACCCGGCAGTGTTTACTTGGCATCCGCACTTTTCTCGGTTTAACATCCAGAATATGGGGCTTCTTCATGTACATCCTCAGGAAGCACCTACGAACGGTGAGAAGGGCTTGAGAGATATCTGACACTTGATCCTGTTGTGTTTCTGTGACAAATCTTAGGTTGACACAGCTCCCATATGACTGCATCATTTTCAGGTCGTATCCACCTATAGGGATGCTGAGTTAGCTCTCAGAGTTAAGATACCTGTGTTTCTCACCTGTGCCTTATTATGTGCAATAATCCACGTGAACAAATCCCACTGCCTGAGTAGCATCACCCCCCAACTTGGGCACAGAAATGTGAAATTCCTTCCTATATCATCCAGCACAAAGATGGCTAAGAGTATCTGAAATATCATTTTAAATAGTGTAGATACATTTGCAATAGAACTCGTACATAAAGCATCACATAAGATGTTAAAGTGTACCAGAATATAATACACGTTTTGTCTGAAAAACAGTGCAAAACTTAAACATATTTAGAAAACTATTCACTTAACAATGATGTACAGCTACAGCTGTGGACTACTTAAACAAGTGTATCAAAAATGTTTCAGGTTTACATTGGGTTGATCAACTAACCAATTAATAGAACAATGAATTCACCTATTAAATAATGTATCCCCATGTCAGTTTTCATCCAGCTACTGTGCAAGGTGGAAGCCTCCCATATCTAAACACTACGCAGCCAGCACAAGCCTGCAGGCCACCTTTAAATAGTCACCAATACCTCCACAATAACCATGGCTGACAGAAGGTGCCTGCTTGTAACTTAGACACACTCACAGGTCTTCTTGGGTCATTAATAAATGTAGTATGAGTGGACTTTGACTCTAACACTGTATTAAGGGGGGGAAAGCTCTGAGCAGCGCCCTGTGTGTTGTAATCATCCCGCACTTGGAGGTTTGTTTGCAGTTTATTGTGTGGCAGTAACACTTGCTGGTTGTTGGTGAGTAGACCAGTCCATGTTATGGGTGAAGTGAAAGGGATTATGTCAGAACAGAGAGTGTTCTTCCCCACCTCTGCTTCTCCAAGTCTTGCTCACAGTTTAGCTCTGTTGATTATAATATGTGATGCACTAGAACAATGTCACGATCCAGGGAACACTTGTGTATCAGGCATTGTAATGTGTAAGTGATCCTATGGACAGCTGTCAGGTAAACCATGACAGGTGTGTTGTAAGGCCAAGCCCCACCATTTTAATATAAATGTGAAGTCTGTACTTGCCTTATTTGATCTAAGTAGCGATAACAGCCCCACTAAACCTAATAATTTTCCTTTTATCTTCTCCTTTTGTTGTCTTTGAATCAGGTAGACATCAAGGCGTTTCCTAACAATACATAAGTGACCTGATCCAACAGTTTGGATCAATAAAAGATCTACTGGATTATGCACATTAGGACCAGGTCATAATCCCACACACTCTATGTAAACAGTTGGCAAGATGGTTGTTTATTAATCTTACCCACAGAAATGTTGCACAATGGTTGCAGGTATTACTTGCAAAAATAACTGAGATGTGTAGTTGTAGTCTGTAGGTAGAGGACTCAGTCTAAGTCTGCAGGCCTGGGGTCCAGTTGGACTCTACTGGATGTGCAGAGAGCAGGATTGAGAGCCAGGTCCCCCTGTGGTGCCTAGCAGCTGCTGCCACCAGTAGGCTTCCCCCGAGCTTGCTCTGCCTGGCAGCAATTGGAAGGGGGGGAGCTCAGAGGGAGGTCCTGTTTAACGTCTAGGTACCAAGCAGCCCAGACTCTGTCAAATTCACCCTGCAGGTCTCCTTTTCTGTGTGTGCTCCATGCTCCGCTGACACCTATCGACAGCTGGAGAGATAAAAATAGCCCTGTGAAGAAAAGTGCAGCCTCCCTGAGCAGGAGCAGCACTGGAAAGGATCCGTGTAGTTGCTCTCACCAGAGCACAGCAAGGACGTTAGGGAGGGACCCGCTGAGGGGTGGACACAAGCAAGTTCATTTTAAGATTTCAGTGTGGTGTCATCCTCTGTTCAGTCGCCTAAACTCTGATGTAAAACTAATGAGAACTGATTTACCATGAATGTGCTGCCTGAAGGTTGAAATATACATTTTGGCAAGACCTTGAAGATATTAGCCTCACATTATGTATCACATTTAAGTTTTCATTCTGACACATTCTCCAAATTGGATTATGGATTGGAGCAGTTAAAGTGACGTAAATCCAGTCATCCATGCTTCTTCAGTGTAAAATCACAGAAGATGAAGAAGTGCTGTAGGAAATGAAGGGCTTCAGTAATGTAGTTCTTATAATCAGAGTTTTAAAAATGCATTAGAAATCTATTCACAGTGTAATGAAGTCATTATGATTATTTATATTGTATACAGTTTGTTGTTTGAACAGTGTCTTGCTTTCTAAGGATTACCTACCTGACTGTCTCATTTTCCTTATTCACTTGCAGATAATCCAGTATCAGACGGTGCGATACGACACTTTGCCTCTGTCACCTATCTCCAGAAACAGACTCAGTGAGTACATGGTTATGTTCACAGTATGACTGCTCTGCTGATGTGTCTCCTCTGCAACAAATTGCAAAGATCCTAGGAAACGTATGGCAGATGCTTTTACCTGGACGCCTTTTTTTTGTGATATTATATCACAGAGAGTGGTCACACTGTCACAGCATATGTGGAAATCTAAATAGAAGTTACACCAGTTTGTCATGTTATTAGCTTCACAAAGACACACTTGTGCACAGACCCTTCATTACCAGATTAATAAACAGCATCAGCTCAGACAGACTCATCAGGACTCCTATAATGTACCTGCTCCATGTGAGGAAACTCATATTTGTGTTTCACGGCATTAACTGTGTTGTGTATTTATTTCCGTAGATCATATGGCTAGAAGCAAATACAGTTGTTTTTACTAAACTTGTTGTGCTATACGTGTGTACGTTCATGAGCTGTTAGTTGTATACCAACAGAGGATGGATTTGCATGTAAAGCATGTGGCTGAGATTTGGTCCCACAACAGCACAGTGAGACGACATTTTTACATTATCACAACAGAAAACCAAACAAGTTTAACTTGAAAGCGCTTCAGGGCCTACCTAGCTCCTAGCTGCGTCACTGAGCTGTTGCTCCACTCCAAGCCAAAGCACAGCTTCATATCCTCAGGCATGACTCTTCTGGCTGTACCCAAGCAGCATACAGAACACAGCGTTTCTGAAGACCTGTAACCAAAACGCTAAAATTAAAAGAGTCTAATTTGGCTACAGACCACTGTGCTGGGTAAACAGCCACAAATGTTCCCGGCAGCATTTACACTGCAGGGCCTGGTGTGTGTGCTTTGAATGGGCTTCCCTCAGTCTGTAGACAGCTCATTCAATGCACCCTCTTGACTTAGAGGAAGGATTGTATTTCAGTTCGACTTTACAGTGACTTCAGCTGGATACTCCACTCCAGCCGTCAGTATGTGTGCCATTCCTTTATATTCTTTCAGCTGTAAATGGTTTATGAACAGCTGCCATTTACACTGAAGTGCACATTTACTAAAAAGTGAAAGCTCTCATTTATAGAAGTACCTGTGCTGTGCCAAATTCTGTTCAGGTGCATCCTGCTTGCTTTGATTTTACTTGAGATGTGTCTAGAGCCTCACTGGCGTCTGTCTACCTGTGGCCAAGTGAACTGACATGACTGGACACAGGTTTTCACCACCAGGGCTCTTCCTAGTGTCAGCCGTCCAACCAAACTGAGTAAGCACACATGAAGGGCCTTAAGGTGTATTCACAGACTAGAACCACAGAGAACGTCTGTGCACAGACCTGAAGTGTCTGAAGTTTCTCAAGCTGCAGTTTCCGTAGATTTTACAGTGACTGTGCTGCTATACATAGTTCATGTGTCTCCTCATTTCTCTTTCTGACCTGGTTCTTTGTGTGTATGTAAATGTATCCAGTACAAGATCACAAGTGTCCATATTGTCTCATTTTAGATGCAGTAAAGAGGAAGATTTTGGTTCTGGACCTGGATGAGACACTGATCCACTCTCACCATGACGGGGTTCTCAGACCCACAGTGAGGCCTGGCACGCCGCCAGACTTTATCCTCAAAGTACGACCAGAGACCTACATGTACATGTTTGAAAACCAGTACATTCAGGCCTCAGCGCTGTTTTTGTATAAACAAGCTGTGTCCCTCTGTTTCTTTTCCATTGCAGGTTGTCATTGATAAGCACCCAGTCAGATTCTTTGTACATAAAAGGCCACATGTTGACTTCTTTTTAGAAGTGGTGAGTGTCGGTCAGTGTGCAGTGTGACTGTCTGTGTGTTTGAGTCCCCACATTAACATAGCCATGAGCAGTGAAGGACACTGTGAACATGCAACATCACTGCTCAAGTCCGTATGTCCTCAGTCACCTTAACTTCCTCTCATCTTTCCCATCACTGCACTCTCTCAGTACCGGGTGGCATAAAACTGTATTTAACATAATGATCCTATGTGACTTAAGAAGAACTAACTGTAACTTGTGTGTTTACACGGCTGTGTCCTCTTTAATCTGTGTGTGTGTGTGTGTGTGTGTGTGTATACACAGGTGAGCCAGTGGTATTTGTAGGTGGTTTTTACAGCCAGTATGGAGATCTATGGCTCAGCAGTGGCAGACAAGCTGGACAACAACAGGAACATCTTGAAACGCAGATACTACAGACAAGTACTGCTCAAAACAACATCTATACAGCATGTATTAAAGCTGATTAATCGGGCTCTTTGGTCCCAGTGGGACTTTGGAGTTCCTTCTTGATATTGTTATTCACTTGTGTTTTTGTCTTTTGCCAGCATTGTACATTGGATCTAGGTAGTTATATTAAAGACCTGTCTGTAGTACATGATGACCTGTCTAGTATTGTCATCCTGGACAACTCGCCCGGTGCTTATCGTAGCCATCCAGGTAGGACTTTCCACCTCACAGAGTCACTTACATCTTCTGTGCATCATCTGCTTCTCTGTCTGTCCCTAATCCTGGCTGAGCTACACATTGTCATGGACAATATGGAGTGAAACTGAAGTTGGAAAAACTTTTTTTCAGAGCAGAACTTTTGACACAGTCTCAAAAACACAGATGTAACTAATCAGCTAAGCAGATGCTGATTTCTTTCATTGTAAGAGCAAAGCCATTGCTGATGTTTAGTTACACCTGTGCCTTTTTTTGCTATGACAAGTCAACGTGTCTGCTTCGAAAAGGTCTCAACATTTAGTTCTTTTAGGAAAAATAAATGCTATAACAGTGTCAGAGTTAAAGAGACTATAGCAACATAACCTTTGAATGTTTTTGAGCAAGGTTGTGTTTAATTTTTTCAACTTAAATATGTAAGAGGACGAATGTGTTGAATCTTATTTCAACAGCTACCCAGTGTCACTCTGAAGGTTGTAGTTAAAACATTATAAGACTGGTTGAGATATATACTCAGCAGTGTACTGTATATTCATCTTCAGCAGACCAAATTAAGTGAGGCTCTGCTCTATACAGCCTTGTGATGAGCCAGGACAAATAAGGGAATAAGGGAGCAGCTTATTCTCATTACAAGGCTTGGATTGTTAATGCTGTAACAGAGGTTTAAATCTGCAGCTTCTCTAACACTCAGCGGCTTTGGTAACAGAGCAACATACAGTCACAGTGAAGTCTATTATTCTGACACAACTGTTTTCTGCCCTCCAGACAATGCAATACCCATCAAGTCCTGGTTCAGCGACCCCAGTGACACAGCACTTCTTAACTTGTTGCCTATGCTGGATGCACTAAGGTAATGAAAGCAGACAATACTTTAGTCCACCATTTAAAAAAGTATACTACCTGAACTGAAATGGTTGTTGCATATAGCATTTTCCATTCATATTTCTAAATATATGGTAAGGTGCACAGCCTAATTCATGACTAAAGATGACCCATGTGCACTACCCTGCAGTGTGTGGCTCTCTCTAGCTTAGCACAAGGACCTAAAACAGGGGAAAGAGCTAGCCCATGGATACTTTGTCCAGATTTAATGTAAAAGAAGCAATTTGTAGATTTCTAGGGCGTTACCTGGTTGCAGGGTGCAGTGACTGTGTGCAGCACCACAAAGGTTGCTGGTAGCTGAGTTGTGCTTCTCTCTCTTTCTCTTAGGTTCACTGCTGATGTCCGCTCCGTCCTCAGTCGAAACCTCCACCAGCACCGGCTCTGGTGATTGGCTGAATCAAGGCGGGGGGTGGGCTTGTTGACCAGCCTTTTCCTCTTTGCCAGCTTCCATCCTGCCTGGTGTTCCCACACAGACGACCCACCAGCCCTCTGTAAGCCTCTCGGACATGTCCTGAGGAGATGAGGGTTGGGGTGACCGCCTATCATGGGGTGAACAGTATGGGATCACAAGAGCCCAGAAACTACTGGGAATAGAGGGGGAGCCAGCCAGTTGTTTTTCTTCTTCTTGATTCTTTATTTGTATTTTTTTTTTTTCCAAAAACAAATGGAGCCTCTCTGCCTTATCGCTCCTGGTACTGACTGTGTGCATCTGGAGCTGAGCTTGTGTACAAGAGTTCTTTAGTCGTTTTTTAAAACTTTTTTGAAGACTGGGAGAGTGAGAAAGAGAAGGATCAGCACAGACAATTCTACATTATTATTTCCTCTTCTCCATCACCACTGGACATTGCACTTCAGCA